CATTTGACTGTATACAAGAGCATATTATATACTTAGTTTTGTATTCATCATCCACATTATAACGGATATATATAATTGCACCTAGGTTCGTCTTAATATTTCCTTTGATACATTTTTAATCATGAACACTAGCTCAAGATCAAGGAGATGCGATTATAGAAAGAGACATTAATTAATGAAATCAATAAATACTTTACCTTACGTTTGTTTCTGTTTTTAAATAGCTCGATTGTGTCTGAAACATAAACCCTAGAAAGAAATGAGAGAGAGAAGAGGAGAATTAATAGAGGAAAAGAGAGTGTGGAGTCATTTATTGGATCAAAGGAAAAGAAGAGAATAGTTAAAGAGTGGGGCTAAGAGAGAAAGACAGAGCACATGGACGCACATGGCTCAACATACCCCACTCTCTCTCCCAACCCTAAATATATACCATTTATATGCTAACTGTCTTCATTTAACCTTCAATTATTTTTGTCCATTTCTATACCTAAAAATATAGGATACATTTTCCATTTCCTTATACTCTATTTATATTATAAGCCCATTTCATGTTTATCCAACATTTAGCTCTATTATATATCTTTCTACCCTTTGACCGATTGAGTTCACGAATTTTGATATTTTTTCTTATTACAACCTTTCAAACTTGAGTTTCACTAACTTGGGCCGGGAAAGTAAAGCAACTAGTAGAATTATAACTATAGAACACAAGTGTTTATCGTTTTGGCGAAAATCTTTCGACGAGAGTATGTACTTATTATATTATTAATGACTCTTACCAAGACTCCGAGAGTTGAAAATCCCATGTGTTTTACGGGATGAGCATATGCCAAAAATGGGATAAACCGGAAAATGTGGTGAGCTCTTTTACACTCGAGACAAGACTTTCATGCAATCGACCTACTCTCCGGAAAAAAAAAATCAACTGAAATACGTGTACTTTTTTCCACATGGCTTCGTTGGACTTCTATCTATAATTATATTGAGCATCAGTTGACTTCAACAGTGTGATCATAATTTTTTCTATATGGTGTGTGAAAAATATAGTACATTATTCTATATATTATCTACCTATCGAAATATTCACTTGTTGTTTACGGTCTATCATTAGGAGTGCATTACAAAGATATATAGATATAGTTTAAAACTTGAAATATTATATTCAATTCGATGATTACTATCAACATTAACGAGCATTTTTTAGTTAAATTATATAATTTGATCTCTTTTGTCAACAAAGATATTTTGATTAATTTAATTATAAAGAGAAATGATTTAATTATGCAACGTTAAAGAATTATATGGGCCCGGAATGTCATTTCAAAGCCCATCTTCTTCTCATTAGGCAGTCCACTGCTTCTCATTCGGAATTATGTAACTCTTCTTTTAACTCTTTCAAGATAAGTTTAAGAAATCAATAATATTTTGATAATCATAAGTTCTAAAGTTCATAACAATAAACTTCCTAGTTAATAGTTTATTTATCGAAATAAAATATTCTGATTGGTAGTTATAGTCGATATTAACAATAAAAAATCCAACATAGTGTATTTGCCTACCATTTCTCTCTCTTTGTTTCATAATTAAGTAAAGGATGTTGGTATAACAATAAACACATGGAAAGTATTTAAATAACCATACTGCTTCATTTAATTTGGTAAATATGCAGTTGATAAATTCATAATTAAAGAAAAAACATTTTTTGCATGGTTTTACTAAAATATTCTTCATACTCGTGAATTCGTGATCATGTTATTTTTAGTGCAATGTATAATATGTACTAGGTAGGGTAAAATATCATGATTAAATCACATACTAATTTTTCTTCT